CTTTTTTAACATACCAACCAAAGCAGATGTAGATGCAGCTAAAAATCAAAAAAAACAACATATAATTAACAAAATAAATGGCTTTTTTAGAAAAATCAAAACACTGCTGAAAAATAATTAGTTTTTAAACTTACTATTTGTAAAAAGGATGTAATCAACCAAATAAATATATGATTTAGACATTAAATTATTACAGAGATCAAAAAGTAATAGTTTTTAAACTTGGTAACTGTGGCAGATATAGATTAAAGAAAGGTGTAATCAAGAAAAAAAGTATTAGAAATTGGCTTTACATACACATATTACATACAAAGTGAACAAAGAAATAGCTTTTAAACTTTCCAAATGTGGTAGATGTTGATGAAACTAAAAGTAAAAAAAAGCTGTAATCAATAAGAAAATTGAATTTGATATTAAATCTATAGTATAGCCATAACAAAAGAAATGATATCGACATCCGCAGCAGGTGTCGATAAAGCTTAATGTAAAAAAAGTGTATTAATAGAAAAAAAAGAAGGATGTTGATGCAAATAATATCACGAAAAGATACAATATAAAAATAAACAAAAAAAGTTGAAAATGGGATTAAATCAGTACACTGCTGAAAAAGAATTGACTCTTAAACTTACCAACTGTTTCAGATGTAGATGGAACTAAAAACAAAATGGATGTTATCCACAAAAAAAAAAAATATTGACAATAAATCTTTTACAAGTTAAAAAATAATAGCTTTTAAATTTACTAATCACAGTTGTTTAAGAAATGACTTGAGATAAAAAAACATATGAATTAAACCAAAGCAAACATCTTTAAATTTCTACTTATATAAACATGACCGAAATTGCAATATACAAACTTACCAGTGGAAGGCTGAGTTCATTGGACTAAAATTAATAAGAAAACTGTATATCAAAGTAAAAAAAACACCTTAAATTTGACAAGAGTAAGTGAATAAGTAACAACAATCAAACAAGTTCTGCATAATGTGCAACAACTTTATTGATAAAGTATATAATGAAAACATAATTACACAAGTAAACATTAAGAAAGGTTGTTAAATGATTTAAACAATAAAAGAAAGATTATAAAATAGATATTTTTTGTAATAAAAAACTTTTAAAGCATCAAAATATTTATTTTATTATGAATAACATTAATGATTATATTGTTCATGTCATCACTATATGTCACTATTATCTATCATATCTATACATCTATACATCACTATCATATCTATACATCTATACATCACTATCATATTGTATTATCATACTGTATATCACTATCGTATCTATACATCACTATCATATCTATACATCACTATCATATCTATACACCTATGCATCACTATCATATCATATCTATACACTATACACCACTATCATATCACTCTACATCACTATCATATATCACTTAAGGAATCTGAAAAACTGATGAAATAGTAAGCCTGCATCTAAACAAGAATGAAACATTAGAAATGTTTGTGTAATGATATAAACAATAATCAAAAGACTAAGTATTATACAATATATAAATCATAAAATTAACATACCAAATGTTCTCAATGTAGATAAAGCTAAAGGTAAAAAAAAAAAAATGTAAAGAACAAAACATACATAGTTTTTGCCAACAAATCTTTACATAGTTGTTTTAAAAAAAAAGTTTTCAAACTTACCAACCATAGCAGATGGTGACAAAGCTAAAGGTAAAAAAATCAACCAAAATAACTTTGATTTTGACATTAACTCTATACAGATCTGAATAAATTTACCACTGGCAGATGTTGATAAAACTAAAAAAAAATTAGGTGTCATCAAATCAAATAAAAAAAGTTATTAAACTTATAGTGTAGCTTTCACGAATAAGTAGAAACACCTAATAAAAAAATATTTATTTAACTTACCAACTGCATCAGATGACGATGAAGCTAAAGTTAAAAAAGGTGTAATATAAAAAAAAAATACACATTTTTGGCAACAAATCCAATAAAACAATTTTGTAATGAGTAAAGAAAAGTACTGTGTAAATAACAAATAAAATAAAGGCGTAAATAACGAAAATTAGGGGTTACCTAAAAAAAAGTATTGAATAGGTTTTATCTAGTAAATGATTTTTAAAAGTTTAACAAAAAAATACTTGTAAAAGTAATAAACAATAGTATTATTATGAAAAAACATATAAACTTACTATCTGTTTGATTACCCAGTTCATTTATATCATTCATTTTTTTAATTACTAACAATCTAAGTGAAACAATATGCAATAAACATTTTTTAAGAAAAAAAAACTCTCTCCCCCTCAGCCCCACCTCGGCTATTTTTGAAAACAGAAATTAGGTACCAAAAGTGTTTAACTGAATTAACTAATTGCTACATAATATTTTTTCATGAAATTTGGCAAGTGCAAAGAAAATGCGTGTAGAAACTTATTTAAAAAATCAAAAAAGCGGAATATAGATTCCTTCAACAATAATTTAACAAGTAAACATCAACATAATTTTCATGAGCAAAATAGTCAAAAAAAAGGTATGTCAAATGTATAAAAAAATAACACAAAAAACAAGCCTAACTCTTCTTCTTTCTTAAAATATACTTTGTGTATACTATGTGTATGTGTTTCTGAAAAATAAAAACCAACAAAAAATCGTTTGCCTAACCCTACTCAAAGAAATGAGACGGGAAATCCGCTAAAAAAAAAAAAATCGGAAAAACAAAAATTAGATACCAAAAGTGCTAAACTATCTGCTACATAATGTTTTTCAATAAATTTTGGTATGTGCAAAGAAAATGCCTGTAAAAACTTATTTAAAGAATCAAAAAAGCGGAATAAAGAGTCCTTCGACAAGAGTTTGACAAGTAAACTTCAACCTATTTTTCATGAGCCAAATGCTCCAAAAAATGGTAAGATAACCGTACAAAAAAATAGCATAAAAAACAAGCTTAACTCTTCTTCTTTCCAAAAATATACTATGTTTATATACGTTTCCAAAAAGAAACTCCTCAAAAATACGTTAGCCCTAGGCTACCTAAAAAAAACGTCAAAAAAACGAGTCACAGAATTTTAGCACAAAATTCGGCTCCGTAAATCCCTATTTCTGCGTACCGAATATTATTGGTATATATAATATTATTAACCTCTAAATATTACCCTGCTTATTGAATAAATATTTAACAGTAAGTATTGTATTTCTGAATAAATGTTTTATAGCAGTGTTAACGTACAGCTCTTTACAGGTTAACCATAAATACTAATCTCAATACCAATTAAATGTGTTCAAATTATAATTTTTTGAATTTTGATAATACAAATATGATAATTAATGCTGAGATAATTACACAGAAAAATATTTTCATATTATTATCAGTGATGGAGTAAAACATTTGTATTTTTTCTTCTTTTAATCTCATTTTAAGCTTTAAAGGGTGGTGCAACTGATATGCATTAAGTGTTTAAAAAAATCAAATTATAAAAGTAAAATAAAAAGAATTTTAAAATTTTCATTTATAAAAAGCATAGAGAGTCTTTAAAAAAAACTCAAATAAATGATTGTATTGCAAATATTGAGAGGCCTCTTCATTGGTAAAATAATTTGTATAGAGAATGCAAGCAATTGTTAAGCAGTTATATTTATTATTGTTTAGCTTCTTTTTTTATATTTATAGTATATACTATACCTGTAATCTTCTAGTATATTCACTATTTTTAATATTAGTTTGTATATTTATTTAGTTATGTTTTAGTTAACATAATCCATTTGACTTGATAATTTAATGTTAAACTAACGAACTGAAAAAAAAAAATACAATTGACATTTTGCAAACTAAAGTTTAATGTTAACATTTTGTTGTTGAAAACCTGTAATACCTGATTTTTATTTTCAGATGATGACCAGTACGGTCATCATGTTAATTTACTAAAATGCGCAAGAACAATTTTAAATACTCTTAGGAATGTTCTAAGTGAGTTATATTGTGGAGGTGAATATATTTATCTTGGTATTTCAAACAGCATATCAAGAACTTTAGCAGTCAACTAGCATTATAAATTTGAGTCAAATACAATTTTTTTAGTTGTCAATGGCCTTCCTTTATTTAAGTCATCAAACACACAGGCCTTTATTATTTATGTTTGACGAAGGTATCATTATTTCTTGGTGATAACAAGCCAAACAATCGTGATAATTTTTATATGATTTTTTGCATGAGTATGTGTTACTATTGACAAATAGTTTTCAGTATAATTCATATAACCTCTATTACATCTTTGGAAAAATTGTTGCAAATGTGTCAATAAAATGTCAGGAAGTGTAAGCTTAACCATTTTCAAAAGATTGAGTCCCTTGAAGAATTTTATGATCTTGAAACCAGATTTAAAGACAACTGGGAGTACTGTAAATTGGTGATTTATATTTATAATTTCTATTTTTAAAGTTTGTCTGTTGATAGAACGCTATTTAGTTTCGTCATTTTCTTGGTGAACCTATTTAGATTGCTCTCTCACTTTACCAGAATATGGTGTAAAAGGTAAATTAATACTTAAAATGTAAAAGGTAAATTCATACAATAGATAAATCCAGAATTAATTTAGTGACCTGAAAGCCATTTACATTCTGTAGAGTTTTTCACAGTCTTGTATTTTTTGTTAAACGATTTTGTCTTATATTTTGTGGAGCAATTATTTTGTTGCTTTTATAGAACAACTGTGACAAACAACGAAATGAATCTAATTCTGTCATATTTGAACATAAACTTTTTACTAGACTTTAATTTATGTTTTAGCTTTGTCATCTCAAGAAAGCAGGTGGAAAAAATGCTAAATAAAATATAAAAAATGTTATGGTCAGGTATGTATTTTTGTTTAACTCTAAATAATCAAACCGTTTATATTGTGAGTAAATTTAATAGAAAAATCTAGCCCAATGAAAGTAACTTAGAAAAACAAACAATTTTAATATATTATTATTTGGACAAAATCAAATTTATATACAAGCATGTGAAGTTAATTGGTAAATAAACTCTCGTGGTAAGAAATGTTAAACACAACAATTCAACAGACCAAATCATTATTCTATCACGGCCTAAACATGATGGGCCAAACCAGAGTTGATAATGCCGCCCGGCGGTAAAGTAACTTTCTGCCGAAAGGCCGACTTTTTAAGGAGACAAAAGCTGTTGTCGGCGGCCTCCCGATTAATTTTTAGCGGCAAAATATTCTTTCTTCCGCCTCTAGTGGCTTCCGCTTTTCTATTGGCGGCTGCAGCCAGAGTTCTTTTTTAGAGGCAAAATGTTTTGGAGGCCGACGCCAATAGAGTGGCGGAAGCCAATGGTGGCCGCCTCCAGAAGAAATTTTGGAGGCAAAGCCATTTGGAGGCCGCCTCCATTGGCTTCTGCCAAATTGGAGGCGGAAATATTTGCCTCTCGCCAATGGATGTAATGAAAAATAATTGCTCGTTTGCATTAAAGCAACTATATATTAACTAGAAACAAATAATGATAAGTACTTGTTGTAATAAATAAACTTGTTGTAATAAATAAATAAATAAATGTTAAATAAATTAACTTTATTAATTTTTAATAATGTTAAAAGATGTTGTGTTTTTCAAATAATTTTACAATCTAAATATTAATACGGCAATAAATATTGGTGCACATAGTTACGCATTGTTACGCCTATTGTTCGTTTTGTTAATTACGGTTCTGCATTATGTAAAATACACAATTTCTTAGTTTTTAAGTTGTTTTGAGACTTTTCTTAGCGCAGTTATATATTCCACGCGGTCTTTCGAGTAAAATCAGCAAGCAAATTGGAGCTGAAACACTTATTTTCGAGAAGAATTGGCGTTGTTCATTTTTTTAAATAAAAATTTCAATAATTGTTAGTTTGTTGTTGCTTATTTTTATTGTTTCTAATTTTTATAGCCTGTTTTTACTTTTTAGAAGAAGTTAGAACTAAAATGTTTGGTAAAGTAGTTTTTTTAGTAAAATGTTTCTTTTTTAGTAAACTGTTTCAGTTTTGTCGTAAGTCTTTTTAGAACATTTTAAGCAAGTATTGTTTTATTTTTTAGAGCAGTTAAGAGGAGTTGATCGCTTTTTTGTTAAGTTCAATTTATTTTCTCATACATAGATTAAGATTTTTTTTATAGAAAGAATAATGAGAATAAAATTTTATTTATGTATTTAATATGAAAAGTTAAATAAAATAAGACTGTTATTTGTGGTCATGTAAGTTTATATACATAAGTTTATTGTAGTCTATTTTATATTTCTCTATATCTATATGTATATATTCTCAGGAAAAATAATGAGGAATAGAAAAATTAAAAAAGTTTCATCTGGAATTTGTCATAAGAGTGTTGTTGAATGCTTCTTTTTAAGGTATTTAAATATGTTTTTATGATAAATTTTTAATTTTGTTTTTTAGTTGTTTCTTCTTTTTCATTACTTTAGATAAATATATACTGACTGACATAACATTCTTTGTTATATTAAAAGTGCTAGTAAATGTTGTTTTAGTTGTCAAAAGTTTGCATATATGTTTGCATGTATATTATGCTCAAAGTTAAAAAGTTTTCAATAAATACGTGTATGTGGTGATATATGTTATATTGTTGTTTTATAAATGTGTTTATATAAATGTGTTTTTTCAATAGTATGAACTGTATTATATCTAATTTTTTGCATGATTGTTAAATGGGGTGTTTTTATATGTTAAGTAACATTAAAAAAATATATTGTGTTTTATAATTAGTATATATGTTTATATAATGTTGTTTCCATGATTTCAAAGTGGCGTAACTTGGCAAACGTGTAGAGCAAGTTTTGTCAACCTTACCAGTCAAGCGATGTTCTGCTTTAGGTCTAAGTGTTGCCTAGCCTTTAATATAACTTCTTTGAAAACACTTAGCATCATCTTTAATAATTTTTTGCGTAATGTTGTTACCTTTGGCTTATCTTTACGTTGGTGTCAGCTGTTAAAAATGATTAATAGGTAGTATCATTACTAGAACTCACTGCTTTTATTTTTTTACTAAAATTCATTCAAGACATCATTTCACTATAAATACATTTTGTTTATCATGAAATAACAATATTTAGCAACTACTACTCAGGTATAACAACAGCTTATCTCTATCAGGTACATTGATTTTCAATTCACATATGATGTTTTTCTTTGTATTTACTTATTCGTTACATTTTTAACTTCAGATTTATGGTGTATTTATTTGCTATAGAAGAACAAATCATTTTGAGTTTTTATGAATTTTTTAAAATTATCTACTCCAGTCAACATTTATAGGTCAATGTTGCATATACCATTTTTAAGTAGCTTCTAGGCTTTTTTGGTGCTTTTCTTATTCAAGTGGTTTTATAAGCAAGGTCTGCAAGCAAATTTGAGCTGAAAGGTTTTTCAGTTTTCGAGGAGAATCAAAGTTGTTCTCTGTTTAATTTAGTTTGTTTAAATAAAGTAGTTTTAGTAAATGTTTGTTTGTTTTTGGTTTTT